GATGACGAAGATGGATCTTGAACAGAGCTTAAAGATGTGCTTGGTTCTTCCGTCGTTAATGATGACGAAGATGGACCTTGGACAGTGCTTGAAGATGTGCTTAGTTCTTCCGTAGATACCGATGACGAAGATGGATCTTGAACAGAGCTTGAAGATGTGCTTGGTTCTTCCGTCGTTAATGATGACGAAGAAGGACCTTGGACAGGGCTTGAAGATGTGCTTAATTCTTCCGTAGATACCGATGACGAAGACAAATAGTTTATAGAGCTTGGAGATGTGCTTGGATTTAATATAGTAGCTGATGAAAATGGTAAAGTTGATGACTCGTTGTAATTGTCCTCTATATTGTTAAACATAATTTTAAAATATTAAAATAATATTAATGTTTTTTTTTTCTATAAAATTAGTAAATTATTGTTGTTGATTTATTTATACATTTTATAATGTTAAAATAAATAGCTGTAACCCCATTTATAAATTTGACTTAGTTTTAATTGATAGGGTTTGTGTAAAAGAATCGTATTTTAATCAAAAATCAAATACAAATAAAGAATTTGTATTGGTAACAGCCTACGGATGCATATTATCACACTTAAATTTTATTATAAATATTTTAAAACATCAAACTTATTTTGAGGTGATTTGATTTACTCATAAATTTCTATGACTTATTTTGATAAATTTATACTATAATTATAAGAATATGACATTTGTGTTTATGATTAAGAAACATTTTTACAGTTATAATAACAAAAAACAAATTTATCGTAGTAAAAACTAATAGTTTAAATGAAACATAGATTGCACGTCTAAAGATTATTTATAGCCAAGAAAACATGAATTATATTTATAATAAATACCTAATATCTAGTAAAATAAGTACCACAAGTTTTCGAGTATAAAATCAGTGTATATTTGTTTTTAATTTTATATTTATTACTATGGTATTTATAAATTGTAATTTTTTTTCATTATCCAATGACTACTGGAGTACAGCAGTGTTTTGAAACTATACCTATTTACAACATACTGAAATCAATTGTCTATAAAGTAACATTAAATAATATAAATAATATCTTATAACATGCCATTCACATCTATTATATTACCTATTAGTTTTTTTTTTTTTTTTTTAATACTGATTGAACATTTTTTTTTTTTTAATATTTACTTAATTTATTAATTTAAGGTTATGGGTATTTTTTAAATAATTTTAAATTTCATCTATCCGTAGAATATCTAACCGATCTATATCTGTTTATTTTTATTTAAAAACAAATTTACTTAACTGAACTAAAGTAGTAAAAATATGATTCACTTTCCTACTCTTGATAAACATTATCATACAGTTGCTATGTTAAAATTCAGTAGCTTCAGTGAACCAATGTTGTACTTCACTTAATACTTAAGTTAGAATTAATCTTGGGGAATAAGAGTTTTATTTAAAGATAAACTGAGTTAGTAAAATGATTTCTTTTTTTTATTATTGTTGAATAAAAAATTTGATAGTTTTATATATAAAAAAAAAAAAAAAAAACGATTTTAGTAATAGTTCAACTTTCTACGATATTTTATTTTAAACGTTTAAAATATATTTAGCTAAGTAATCTTAATATTATAAGCTATAAAATTATATAAATACCTATTAAAAATTATATTTGAATTTAAAATATGTACTTCTAAATAAAAAATAACAAGTATTAATATGAAATTTTTATAAAGTATGAATAAATTAAATCTTAAGTTTGCAAAAATCAATAAGTTAGAGTAGATTATTTTTTAAATAATCTTACTATATAAAATCTCTATAACTCGTAAAAGATTAAATTGCATACAAAAATAAAATAAAAATATATTTTCAGTTTAATTTTGATATTAATTTATTTAATAATTATTTGAATAATGATAAATATGTAAAATAAAGTATTCGTATTAAAATATTATAACATTTTATTAGAATAATTATTTTATTTTATTTATTATTATTATTATTTTTTTATTTAATTTGACATAAACTTAAACTTTAGTCATCAACGTTTACATTTAATTGTATTGTAAGAAACTTCTTATTTTTTATGATTAATAGTTTCATTTTTGAGCATATAATCTTCAAAAACAATGTTACAATATATTCTGGACACAAAATAAGCAACTATAATCAGTCATGTACATGGACAGTTTGATGGCATTACTTTTCCGAAGTCACTATATCATAAATTGTGGCGTCTATAACTGATACTCTTTTGATATTAAATACTAAGCTTTTAGCAACATAGAAACTTATTTATAGTTTTTCTAATAATGCTAAATAATGTCAAAGTTCTGTCTAAATATTTGAACTATTTTCTTGGTTCATTATCTAAAATATTTTATTCAAAAATAATATATTTTATGATTATTTTACATTTAACACCATAATAAAAATTAAAAAAATGTTAAATTTTGCGATTCACCATTTTAATGCAATCATTAGGTATTATAATGTTATTAAAAAAAAAACCAAGTTGTACCCTTAATCTAATTTAATTTTTAAATTTTACATGATAATTTTTATATAAAATAGTCAAACATTAAAAATCTTAAAAAAATTTTTGTAATTATTTGACTGTATATTATATTTTGTATAATTTTGAATTTTCTAAATTAATCTCAAAATCATATACCTGCATTAATTAGTAGTATTTATTTCCAATTAACTCATAATAATTAGATATAATAGGTAATTATGTGAATAAAATATTTAATATCACAGCAAATCATTATGCGAGGACCTTCAATTGAATAATAATTTTTTTTTTTTTTTTAACTATAAATTTGATAATTGATATTATTTATCATATATTTAATTTACTTCATATCGTAATCCAAACACTTTAAATAGGAGTTAGGTATATTTAAGTATTTATCGTATATATAGATGGACATTTTTACAACGCCCCAACTGATAAAATAACATATTTTGTGAAATTAGCTTGCATCGAACATGTATTAACATTTAGATGGTTAGTGTTTTTAAATTTATAGTATAAACATTTTAAATAAGACCCTGCTATATCATATTATATCATGTATAAGGTACTTACGGCTGACTGGATTCGCATAAGTAAAACTCAACTCGCTTAAAATTAAAATAGTTAAAACAAATATAAATTTAAAATATACGTTTGTCGACATTATCACGGTGTGATCACCAAAAGTGATCAAGAATCAAAAAATAACAATATTAAAAAATAAAAAATAAAATAATGGACGAATTAGTGGACAAAATATTTTGAAAATAGAAGTCCTGTCGTACGTACTGCTTGGATCGGTAGACAGACATAACTCGTTGTCATTTTGCAGTCACATTGAGCGTGTGGGTAACTTACTTCTATGCAGATGATAATTATTCATTTATGAATATTACATCAGAAGGTGAAATTACAAGTCTGCATAGACGTGATTTTTTACGAAAATATAATCTATAAAAATATAAAATAACCAATATTTAACATTAAAAAAAATGATTCTTATCAGTCACGTAAGCCAGAAATGTTTTAAGCTTGTCTATGGTTTATCTATGTCACAGATGATGTATTTTTAATTTTTTTAATATTGAAAATTGTCAAGGCTATGTTAATAGTTATAAATATATTAATATTTCAAAATTGACGATCACATAAAATGCTATCGTTATTGAACAAATTATACATTTTTATTAATTAGCAGTTTTTATCATAAATAATTTCAAAATTATTCATGATCATTTTTAACTACAAAAATCGACAATTTGTGAATATTTATGTTATTTTTATCCCAAATCTAAAATATTTTATGATCATAAATTATTTAATTAAATAACAATTTTTTTTTTCATTTTATACGCATCAAACGAAAATATTCATTTGTATTTCACACAGACTAAAGTGTATTGTTTTCTGCTTTGTGTTGTCTATACAAATAAACCAAATAAAAATAAATATTCGATTAGGTACTTTAGTTTGCAACAGTAAGCGGCAGGCAACCTGCACTGTCTCGATAGTAATGCAATTTATAACGAAACAATTCAATGTTTTAGGATATAAATTATACATAGTTTCTTTGAATGTGACGCTGGTTTACGTAAACATTATATTTTATGTTTCATATTTACTTTTTATTTAGTCAATGGTGAAATTTAATAATAATAATGAAAAAAAATATAAAATATTTTAAAATTACCTTTAAATTGAAAAATGATTACACTTATGAAAGGTATTATTCGCTTAATATTTTTAGATTATATTATTTTAGTTTTACAATGATATAGGTTTATTTTTTACTAAGTTAAATATGCGACCAATTTTCGTTGAACGGAGTACTCTGAAAGTTTTATGTAGGTAACAATTTTTAAATTGAAAATTTTATTTATTGCTGGTACTTTGAACGTTTTTTAATTTTCTTAGTAGTTTCCCTAAATATAATACATAAAAAGTATCAAAAAATGATATAATACAAAAAAAAAAAAAAATAAAAATAAATGATAAATTTATTTCTGTTAAATTTTTATTTAGAAAAAAAAACAAACGAAAACTAAAAATAACTATCACCAATTATTTATTATTTAATCGATTATAAGATGAAAGTTTTATAATTTTCCAACAATTATAGAACAGATTTTTGTAAATTTATTGTTTTTTCCTAATTATACTTCTGAAACCTGATATTTGAATATAAAATTAAACAAAATAATTATTATTATACAATACATTAAATATAATGAACTTAAAACGTTTGTTAAATAAATAAGTTTAAGCTAAGTTAGAGACATAATATTGTACATTATTAGTGTTTCTTAGAATACCTATATTATGTTGAATACTTATATCAACACATTTTATTTCATTCTCAATTTCATAGAAGTATATTATGTATTATACAACTATTAGTTTTGTATAAGTTTATATATATATATATATATATATATATAATTATAGTACAATAATCCCACCTATATTTAATATACATTATAAAAAATAAACATATTTTCTTAGTGGATATATTCTAATTTTATTTAAATAATAATAATAATTAGTAAATCAACTTAATGAAAATGTCCTACTATTCATAACTATAATATAAATATTTAGGTCTTAACAACTTTTTAGAAAGTATAATGTAGAATATGTTATCATTAAAACTAAACAAAAGAAGAAACTTTCAGATTGGGATCAGTTATTATAATATTTACAAGTTAAAATATATCATTTTTTATTTTTTACTTTATTTCGGTTCATAGAGAATTAAAGTGGTCATTTTATACGTACAATACTTTATAATTTTATTTTATAAATGTAAAATAAATCTCAATATTAGTTACAAAGTAATTCAAAGTCAACAAAGTAGTATATATGAAATGTTGTTTTAGCTATTTTAGTAGTTATAATAGATACATAAAAGTATTTTTTTTTTTTTTTTAAGTTCGTTTATATTTTATACATTTAAACAAAACTTAATAGTTAGTTTATAAGTATTTTATAGTTGCGCTCATAAGTCACTTCAATAGAAAACTTTGTTATTGATTTATATTAAATAATATAGTTACTTCCTAAGAAATGAAATTATTTATTTAGTATATAGGTATTTTATAAAATAAATTTGTTTGTTATGAATGGCTAATGATCATACAGAGTAAATAAACGAATGTTAAACTATTTTATTAAATGCCTATATTTATATGTTTATATAGTTATTTATTTAATGCCATTATGATATTGGAACTAAACATTTCAACTTTTTTCTTGCTTTAAATTATTATAAATGTGTATGTGTATGTATTATAATCAATGGATAATTCCATTTCGTTTTAAATGAAAAGGGAAAACTAATTTATTCATGTTAAATTAATATACAAATGCAACTGTGGATAAAGTAATTAACCAATAATATGATATCCACGTAACCGGTGACCACGTTAAGGTGTATTAGGGATATCATTGACATCAGATTGAGTAAATAATATGCTATAACAGTGCTGAGAGAGTGTTCAAGTAATTGATTTACTCTCAACTGTAATCCCATTATAGAAAAACTATATCACGTAAAAATAATATGCTATTATACAATTATACGATGCATTATTACGATCGTCTTAATGTAATATATATTTGTAAATATCATATCATTATAAATTAACTAATATTTAAATAAATGTATATATTTAAAAAAAAATGTATGATTATGAATTATATTTCTATAATCTTAAGTCATTATCGAGAAGTAATTTCAAACATTGATGTGGTTTTTATTTCATAGAATTATACGTATTTTTATTTAGCTTTATACTTCAAAAGTTAAAACTAATAAGTTTTTAGTGTAACAAGTTTTATTTAAAATATGCTTCTATTTATTATTTTAAATATCATAATTTACTTTGAAGAGCATGAATTTACATGAATTCCTTTAGCTTAGACTCTAAATGGATCATTTAATGTATTGGTTTTACGATTACGATAAAAAGTAATTTAATATAAAATAATATTTCTTGTATTCGTTCGTATTATCTATCTATTTAACTGATAATATAATAAAAATGTTATTCAGATCACATAATAGTCAAAACTTAATCTATAATATTGTTTGATAAGAAATAGTTTTGTTTTTTATAATTTTAAATTTATTTGGTATATTTAGTATGATCACCGACATGTGTGCTTTTTACCTTACTTTTTATTTTCTTATATAATCTTGAAAACAACTCGACATTCCATTTAAAATCTATTGGCCGGAAGACATTTAAAGTCACTTTTGGTCCCAAAAATATCCTAAACGGATTATAAAAGTAAAACGACCAATAACAAATGACAAACATCGTTGACCTCAGAACCGTAATAAAAGAGGAAAAGTTTTTAACAACTTTAGTCTATTATAGACCATTCCCAATACTTTATAAACTATGGTGATTTGGATTTTTAAATATATAAATTTAAAAATCAAACTAAACATTCATTGACTCCAGATACACCAAGTTCACAATAATAATAGATTTTCAAGAAAAAGAACAATACATCTCAATACTTGTGGTTGCATGCTTGTACGGTGACCCACATATATGAAAACTTGCTCACATAAAAAAAAAAAAAAAAAACAGTAACGAGTACACATAAAAATGTATTTAATATATATATATATAACTAGATATTTATGTATTAAAATTCGAATACATATAAAAAGTTATGTTTTTTCCATAAATTATTATTCAAAGCAATATATTTAAATTCTCAAATAGAGGTATACGAATACCTATATATTATTATATATATATAGTTTATAGTGGCTTATTTCAGACATAATATGCAAATAATGATTTGATGTTAATAAATTATTAAATACTGTTACATTCGTAATTAACTTACAGTTTACACCGATGTTTACAAGAACTAGCATTATATAATTCATAAGTCTAAAATTCCAGATTGATGAATGCCTAAATTCTATTCAACATCATTTTCAGAGTAAGAATTTTTCTATTATATTCTATCCTTAGTAAATATAAAACATATAATGTATTGATTTCATTTGATATTTATATATATTTTTTGAATACAAATTTAATTACAGTTATTAACATATAACGTGTATTTATCGAATTTTTTTTTATTATTAAGAAAAATAAGCAACAACACAGGCATGTGAATTATACTTTATATACTCAACTCATAATTGTTTTGATAATATAAAGCTTTCACTAACGTGGTGGTACAATCGATAAAACAACGTATCAGAATACCAATGCAGGGTAACAGCACTTTATTTTATTCTCAGGAGCTTAAAGAAAAATAAATCCAAAAACTTAATTACCTCTGATCGTATAATTGCACATATATATTTGCAGTTTATATTGAATAATAAATTAAGTAAAAAAATAATTAGTTTTCCTAATTCAATTTATTTATTATATAAGTTACGTGCGCGTGTTTTGTATTGTTTTAAGTTTCTAATTATTATGAATCGACTAAAATCTTAATTTGATTAACTACTATGCAAGTGTTAGCTCAAAAACTATTAACAAACTAATATATTATCATAATGAAATATAATATACGTGTGTGTGATAGTGTGCGCATTATGATAATATTACACCTATAACCAACATAATATCTTAGTATTGAATAAATTCATTATATTTATGTAGTTTTAGTCGCTGCAGTAATAGAAAACTTAACTGAAACTTTTTATGTGTGTATTATGTTAAATCATTTGATCGTTTTGTTCTACTGAACACCTATTATACTGCAGTAAAACGTACACAATAGTTTATAAACAATAATGAACTTATAAACTGAGTTAGATTAATTAATGTTGTGTTTCGTCATAATATTGGTAAAAAATTACCTAGATATAATACAACG